CCCCAAAACCCCAAAACCCCAAAACCCCAAAACCCCAAAACCCCAAAACCCCAAAACCCCAAAACCCCTTATGAGAGTTTGAAAATTGAATTCTAAGGAGGAGGGTTTTAAAGATTGTCCAAATTTTACGAAATATGGCTACTTTAGTTTTACCTCTTTTTCATTAATGTCCTCTTTGTTGTACTCAATATTGTCCATGTCAATGTCAGAATACTCAAAATCATAATCTGAAAGAGAAGTCGAGGAGGAAGAACTAGATGAGGAGGCAGAGTAAGGCCACTCTATATCTTTCATCTTTGCCAAGTCATACATAAGGAATCCATCCTTTTTATTGATCTCTATGGCTCTTTTATAAAGATCGTAGTCGTTTTGTTTCATCTTTCTTATCCATTTTACTGCCATCTTCTTCCTAGCCTTCCTAGTGTCTCTCCAGACTCTTTCAAAGTTTCCTCTGTTTGTATAATTTTGAGTTATCGCAATTGTCTCGTCAAGATTAAGCACGCAGTGCCACCATCTCCCTGGCACAAAAACAGTCTCTCCAGGGCGTTGCACAAACTCATATCGTTTCTCTATGTTTTCATTCTTAAGAATTTGAGGGTATATATACTTAAAATAGTGAACAGCCTCATCATCAGCTCCTTTCTCTTTGTACTTCTTTCCTTTCGCTACTTCTTTACTGAATGAAGGAGGGAATAATATCCATTTCTTATGTCCTTGGATACTTGTGTTCCAAGCAGAAGTACTCAAAGGATCGCAATGGATAGTAGTGCCGGACCTACGAGGACCTATCAGCAACCATCTGTAAGGAGGTCTTTGATCCACACCAAGAATTTTAAAGTAATCATCTTGGAAGTATTTTGGAACTTTATAGTCTCTCACAATCTCTTTAATTTTCTTTCTAGATTCAATACTTGACTGGAAGAGATACAATGGGCTATCATCTTTATTATAAAGCATGTATTCAATGAAATATTTTAGCTTCATCTTCAAAGGATAGCCCTCATCGTCTTCCCCAACTTTGAGTTTTCACTTTTTGTATTTCTTTACTAGATCGGCAAAGTTCCACTTAGACATTGCGTCCCAATCATCAGCTCACCCATTAATAATCGCAGGGATTCCTGGTTCTTCGTATCTTTCCATGAACTCTTGGACTGTAACATCATTAACGTTGATTCTGTCAATGTTCATAGTTGAAACCTCATCTGGTTCGTTAATCCAATCATCAAGGAAAGAGTCGTTCTTATAAAGCTTTAACTTTTGCCAACCTCTTAGTGGTAGCTCTTCTCTATGCTTCCTCTTAATGTCAAAAGTATAGTATTTAACCCTTGGAGTCATCTTATGGTCTTTGGGGATGTACTTAGTATACTTATCAAGTCCGAATTTCTTTATCAATTCCATGCGACTCTTTTTAAACTCTTTCTTCTCTTCAGGAGTTTCCTCATCACTGAAAGAGAAATCACTAGAGCACATACTAGAATCAGAGCCATCATTTTCTCCATTACTCTTCTGACTTTCTGGTGCAATCTTAGCACAAGAATCCTTATCTTTCAGTTCATATGCCTTATCACGGCTCTCAGTCTCCATATTTACGTCTTCCATATTGAATATAATTAGTGATTCATTATTCCCCTTTAAAAACGGGGTTTTGGGGTTTTGGGGTTTTGGGGTTTTGGGG